CGAGCAAGAAACTCCATTCCTATATATAATCTTTTATTATTCTTCATATCTTTTCTCCATTCCTATTTATAATTCTTCATATCTTTTAAAAAATCTATGTTTTACAATGTCTCTGATACATATTCCAATACTGTACGTATATGTGAGAACAATGTAAAGACACGCTTGACGCATTATAGGTACTAATTGCAAACCTTACTAAAATCAAATAATTTTATAGTCTAACATGGTGCTCACATATGCATACTGACAATTCATAGAAATAGTGCTTCTATACAAGAAAAAGGAAACACTTTGTTTCAATAAAGAAAGAAATGCTCGATGCCATAAGGAAATTCAAGCTCACTGATTAACCTTCGTCGTAGTAGTAGTCGTAGCTTGGACTACGGCGTAGCCAGTAATACTACGGCGTAGCACGGCTACGTGTATCGACAAAATGCGATATTTGGAAATTAAGTTGATTTTAAAATCAATTAATGAACGTGTGATTATTTTTTAATGTTTTATTGTATTAAACAGTTGAAAAACAAAATATTTTTGACTAAGGAAAGTATCCAATTTCCTTAGTTACGAGAACTCGCATACATTGATATATTTATATAATTACAACAAGAAAGAACAATCGAAGTAAAATTATTTTTCAGTTTCATTTTCAATAATTATTATTTTTAAAATAGTACATATTCTTGTTGAATTTCTTCATGTGTTATTCTGTGATACGTAATAACGCAGTGGTTTGTCATTGCGTTTTATTTTAAAGTAGTTATCAAACATTTTTTGTATAGTCGTGTAATAGATGGCGCTGAACGCTATTTGAAAAACAGTAAGAAATAAGAATGAAACAGAAAACATGAACATCAATGTGAAAACAGCAAATCTCTATCTTTCATTTGTTTCCCATAGTCTAAGACTTTAGTCATTAAAGTTTAGTTTTATTATAGACCTTAGTACTCACGTACTTAGATCTAATTTCAAAAATATCGGTAATACCTCTATAGTGCCTCTAAGATTCACAGAACAAATGTATTAACTAACATTGTGGTCATCAAGGAGTAAGTGGCCAGCCGGCACCTAAGCAAACGTATGTAACGAAACCATAGCGCGATTTAACTTGAGCCCAACGCCATCTATCGAGCGAGGAGACAACTATATAAATGTGACGTGATAAGTTTCTGCGGTACGACGTCAATGAAATATGAACTACGTGAATAATTCTTTTAGTATTGGATAGTTCATTTATCGAGGAATATATATGTGTTCCTCCTGTGTAGGTACTGTCTGTGTGTCGTGCATAAACTTAGAAATAAATAAATAAATTTATAATAATAAATAAATAAATAAAGTCGTGGTGGCCCGGAGTTTTAAGACGCCCACTTCTCATGCATGAGGGTGCGGGTTCGAAACCTACCAACGGCAAGCACCAATGTGACTTTTTCCCAGTTATATGTACTTTCTAAGATTATTTAGACACCACTGACAAACGGTGAAGGAAAAACATCGTGAGGAAACCTGGACTTATAATTTCTAATTATAAGTTTGAAATCGCCAACCCGCATTGAGCAAGCGTGGTGATTAATGCTCTAACCTTCTCCGTGTGAGAAGAGGCTTTGCTCAGCAGTGGGCATTTATAGGCTGTTGATGATGATGATGAAATAAACTTCTTTTGGTGTTCGATACTTAGTTCATTATATCAAGGGAGGATATAAAATATACCGCTACAGTTAGATACTTTTCTTAATCAAAAATAAATTATGTCGACTGTTCAATACAATAAAATATTATTAAAAAAATAATCACACTTTCATTAATTGATTTTATGACCAACTTAATTCTAGTATTTTATCAGCAAATTTACCAGAAATAGTTATGCTGTTTGACGCTAAAAAACGTGACGTCACAATACACAATCTCTTACAAAATTCATAGAAAACGTTTTTGACAGTTCGGAAAAAGTATTGAATTTGACTAGTTGGCAAGTACTCATATATAGTTTTTTTGCAATCATCATCAGTAATACACTTCTGGACACATCTATTGGCCCACCTTAGAGTTCAGGTTTCGATGGGCCCTATCGATATATGATTGCTAGATTGAACAAAAACTGTTGATGCAGTTTTAAACCTGATACATTTTACCATCTTTTTCAATCGTATTGTTTTAAATTTGAATTCAGAATACCATACGACATGGAGCTACGCCTAACAAATCGGATATGCGCCTTGTTAAAGGCAATTGACTTATAAATATAAAACATGTTTTATCAAATAAAGGTTTAATTTAATAACGCGTGTTGCCTCCATGGGCATTTACATCAGCTCTCATACGATTAGGCATAGAGATTATCAACCGCTCTATGAGGAATTTTGAGGGATCATCTCCCATTCCTCTTCTATGGCAGTTTCCAACTCCTGCATCGTCTGGGCAACTGGCTGACGAACCCTAACACGTCCTTTTGGCTCGTCCCATATGTGCTCAGTGGGGTTAATGTCTGGGCTTCTGGCTGGCCAGTCCATAACTGTGATGTTCACATCCCGAAGATATTCCCTGACGCTGACGATGTCGGCCGCATGGGCTTGATTTACAAAGAACTTGTAATGACAGCACTATTCTGCAGCACGACTTAAAATTGGGTGGCATTTGAGTATTTGGACTAACACATACATACATAACTTCACGCCTCTCTCCCGTGGGGTAGGCAGAGGCTATGGAACGCCAATCTCTACGATTCTTACATACCTCTTTCGCTTCATTAACAGTCATCAATCTTTTCATACATGCTCGTCGGTTAAGGGTACTTTTAATTTGACCCTTCTATAATATATCAATCTGGCCACTATATGTCCGTCTAGGGCGTCTTCTACCGACGGCCCCATTCATATCCGCTCTGTATACTTCTTTCGTTACTCTACTTTCATCCATCCTTTCTACATGTCCAAACCAGCGTAACATTCCCTTTTCAATCCTTGTCACTACATTATCTTTCAATCCACACCTTTCTCTAATAACACTATTTTTCACTCGATCACTCAATTTTAGTCCACACATACTTCTCAGGGCTCTCATTAATCCTGCTTTCATCCTTCTTCTGCCAACCAATGAGTTTTTTGGACATTAGTTTTATAAATAGTCTTAGAAAATACACAATATACATATAAATGCGAAAGTTTGTCTGTATATTTGTGACTCAATCACATCAAAACGCATGAAAGGATCGAGATGACATAGGGTAGTTTCCTAAATTTTATTTCAATGTCCGTCTGGTACATTAATTTAAAACATTAGACACGTATTTTTTCTTTTCTCACACAATTAAATACTTTCGACGATGTATTCATTTGAAATATCGTGTGACGTCACAATACGGTTCTTTTTGTAACACTTTGTGACGTAACGATCACGTTAATTAGTACCTCCGTTTTGCCGTTTAAGACAGGCAAACAAACAAATAGCTTTCCGCTCGCGTGGAATTCGGTTAAATCGCGCTATTTAGATTTTTCCAATAAGTAGGTAATTCGTTGACTGGTTTTAAATGACATACAACGCCATCTATACCAGTACATACAGCGCCATCTATACAAATATTTTGGTTTTTCCTAGGAAATATAATTTTTTTCCATGATAAAAAGTACCCTATTATTTAATCCAGACTTCTAACTTTATGTCTGCAAAATTTCAAAGCAATCGGTCTAGTAGTTACGGCGTAAAGGCGGAACAAACAAACTCACTTTCCGATTTATAATATAAGTAAGGATTGTAATTTTATACGAGAAAATAAAAAAATACGTGTCTAATATTTTTTCATTATCTAACTGACGGACTAATTAGATTTTTAATTTTCATTCCCTGGCAACTACCCTATTTGAAACAGTGGCAGATTATAGTCTGCAATAACACATAGGCTTCTTATCGCACGGGGACGCGGCCGAAGCCGCTGGCAGAAGCTAGTCTAGTGTACTTCCGCATCACTATCTACAAAGTCGGTTAGCAGTAGGTACTGACATAGGTGGCATACATATCTATAACCACCATTCCATATCGCTACCTTCACCAGCAGCAGATATAGAAAAATAAATAAATTTGTTGCCAAAAATATAATTCGCACATTGATAACAAAACCACAAGTGACCGACAAAAACCCCACTGGGACCACCCAAGTACTTAGTTATCTACATTTCGTTCTCCTGCTGGGCTCCTATTGATGGTAGCGTAATGTTTTATACTACTATAGACTATAGTTACTAAATGTAGCCCTTTAGGTATAATTTTGTCGAAGTAAAGTCGGTGTATGTTTATTTAAATTTTAAAAATACTTAACTCCAACTATAGGCCGTTACATTATTCATATTGCCCAGGCATTATGAATAATGCCCGATTAATCACTTAGCCCATAACACATCATCACGCCTTTCTTCCCCGAAGGGGTAGGCAGATGTGCACATTACGGCACTTAATGCCACTGTACAATGTTACACCCACTTTTTACTATTTATGTTATGACTCCCATGTAATAGGGGGTGAGCCTATTGCCGTATACCGGGCAAGACTCCGTGCTACTACTGGATTTTTAAAAAACCCAGTAATACTTTGCGCCGACCCGGGAATCAAACCCCGGCCAAGGAGGCAGTCCACTCTTAGTAGACTGGCCCAAAACATATACAAAAATAGCTCGTTTAAAGGTATTACATTAATGTAGTTTTAATATACAATCAGATTTTCAAATAGCTAATAATTTTAGAAGAGGGGTAGATTATGGTCCAGATTAACACAAAGGCTACTTTTCATTCCACGGGGACGCGGGCGAAGCCGCTGGCAGACACTAGTATAGCGCAACACGAGGATGTTACATGTGACGTTTCGCTTTTGTAACATTCTAGCGGTTACTGGCGTGGGCGTACTTATACTTATAAGGCCATGCGCAGACGACAGCCAGGCATACGTTTGGCGACAGCCCGTCCGAAATCAACAATCGATTAATTTGACAGATAAAAGATATTATAAAGATGAGTACTACTATAAAGAATCCGGTGAGTGTTATTTACATGTTCTTTTGTGTTATTTTTTGAACTTTGACATGCCTTTGGCATAGTTTGGTTTGTAAATACTATTAATGTCTACTTGTACGATGATACAACTTGTATTCTTGTATTCAGAGTCATAGCTATATATGTATTATTAGTAATAGAAAGTAATATAAAGAAATAACCTCTGTAAGAAGTCTTATTATCGAATGATTAAATGTGGGATACCTCAAGGCAGTATCTTGTGTCCTTTATTATTTCTTAAACCATTTCTTCGAATATTCAACGATAATAGTAATTCTTGATGTATAAATGTATTTTTTTTTTCCTTTCAGGGAATACCAACCACGGTTCGTATTCCTGGGGGTATGTTCCCCGGTTGCATTGTAAAATTCAAAGGTAGCACTCCTCATGCAGCAAAGAGGTAAGTTCATATTCATATTAAAACGTAGTTAGTTTTAAAGTCGTGTTATTTCCGGCTTCGCCTGGCATCTCATGAATGAGGGTGCTAGTTCGACCAATGTGACTTATTCCGAGTTATGCATTTTCAAAGATTACCTAGACACCACTGACAAATGGTGAAGGTGAGGAAAAACAAACATCATGAGGTTACCGGGACTGATAATTTCTTATACTTATAAGTTTGGAATCACGAGCCCACCTTGAGCAAGCGTGGTGATTAATAACTCATAACTTCTCCGTGTGAGAAGATAATACTTTGCTCAGCTGTAGGCATGTGCACAGTATACACAAGTATACAGTGTACACAATAGGCTGGTGATGATTATGATTATTTACGGCACAATTTTGTCCTCAGGTTCGGGATAGATTTCCAGTACAACAAAGACATCGCTTTTCATTTCAATCCTCGTTTCACGGATAGCTTTATTGTACGCAACCATTACATTTCTGGAGTGTGGGGCAATGAGGAGACCTCCGGAGGCTTACCATTGACACGTGGATCCCCATTCGAAATCGTTTTCGTTTGTCATTATGATCGTTTTAAGGTAAGTCGTACATGAAGTTTTTTTATTGAGTATTGGGGTAAACGAGCAGACGGATCACTGATGGTAAGCAATCGACGCCGCCCATGGATACCACCGACACAAGAGTTGCAAAATGATTTAGAGGTTTATGTATTAAACATCATTAAATGTTTTTATAATAATTATCGTGAGGCACACTGAATTAATTAAACACTACGTGTGACTCACGTGAATATAGCACCAATTCAGGAACTACACAGTAGGCTGCGTGGCATCGCCGCTTTACTTATCATCATGTTATTAATTTATTTTTGAGAATTTTATAAACAATTTAACGTTTTTGGGTAGCTATTAAACCAAAGAAGTTTTTGTAATAGTTTGTACGCTTAGTATCATTATAATAATATCAATTCTATCAACCAAATTATTGACTCAAAACAAAATATGATACTAATTTACTTGCTATTTTAAAACGAACTGAGAGTATTATTCATATTGAGGTATTGACACTTTTTTATTTATAGATGTTTTTGTAGTTCGAAATTTTTTCACCAAAACCGAACATAACATCACGACTTTTTATCCCCGAAGAGGTAGGCAGAGGTGCACATTTCGGCACTTAATGCCACTGTACAATGTAACACCCACTTTTCACTATTTATGTTATGAGTCCCATGTAATAGGGGGTGAGCCTATTGCCATATACCGGGCACATTTTTCCAGACTCCGTGCTACTACTGAGATTTATAAAAACCCAGTAATACTTTGCCCGACCCGGGAATCGAACCCGAGACCCCTTGCCCGGCAGTCGCACTTGCGACCACTCGGCCAACGAGGCAGGCAGTCCTGAAATAAGTTGCTGAAATAAGGTCATAGAAAAAATACTAACTCATCATCTCCCGCTAGGTGATGCTGAACGGAGAACACTTCACCGACTTCATCCACCGTGTTCCGTTCCATAGGATCACCCATATCGATGTGGGACAAGACGTCATCATAGATGAAATTGACTTCGAAGGAACCCCACCACCGACGGACTACCTTGTAAGTATTTTGTGGCGTAGGGCGGCAAACGAGTGAACAGGTCACCTGAGGGCCAAGCACGAATAACTATCGCATTCGTATCGTAACAGTATCGAGCGAGTTAAGCGTTCTGATTGGTTGGTTCACTTGAGCCGGCCAATCAGAGCGCCGAACGCACTCTGGTCACCTGATGGTAAGCGGCCATCTTTAACGGTCGAGGAAATGTGCCATAGTGTGACAAGGGTGTGTATTTGGGGGGGGGGGGATAATCATTCATTGACTTCTCCCGCCTTTGGAGAGTCAGACTCTTACTGACTTAAAACTACACCGTTCCTTCTTCTCTTCGAGCCGGAGCCCCGCCAACCGGTCAATTCATTTGTGGTTTCATATCAACTTCAACCCTATTGGGTCCCATCTGTGCCAAGACGGTGGAACAGATCTTAAAATTCGTGACGTCACATTTAAAATTAAGATATGTGTTAAAACACGAACTTGAATCTATTAATGACAAATTTAATATGTGTGCATAACATAACATCACGCAATTTATCCCCGAAGGGGTAGGCAGAGGTGCACATTACGGCACTTAATGCCACTGTATATGCCCGAGATATGTGTGCAATCTATATATATAATCGCTACGACATACTAAATAACTTGTAGTTAAGAGAAGGTTTAGAGGTAGTTGGTGGAAACGGTGAAACATCACGCCTTTTATCCTCTAAGGGGTAGGCAGAGGTGCACATGCAGCACTTAATGCCACAGTACAATGTAACACCCACTTTTCACTATTTATGTTATGAGTCCCATGTAATAGAGGGCGAGCCTATTGTCATATACCGGACACAGTCCCAGACTCCGTGCTACTACTGAGATGTTTTTTTTAAATCCCATCAATACTTCGCCTGACCCGGAAAATCGCACTAGCGACCACTCGGCCGATAAGGCAGTGAGTTAGATTTAATCATGTGAATTACTCGTTTGGTTTCAGACTGAGCATACAAACGATGCTGAGGAAGTCTGCGGTAAGTAGTTATTATATCTAAGGATAGTACCGTCTTCTCCATGAGGGCACTCGGGGTCCGTGCGCAGGTTCCCCATTCTCAAGGCGCCCCGAAGGACCAACAATTTCTACGACAGACTGGCTACTCTGTTTTTTCTTCTTCTCCTCTTATAATATCTTCTGATTCACTTCGTTGCGGGAACCAAGACAGTTACTCATGTGCCTGGGACGCGCCGGACTTCAATGTTCCGGTGTTTTCATGGTTGTATCTACTGTAGATCCTGGCTTACAGGAGTTGCAGCGGTTTTGGGAGGTTGTGGCGGGCTTGTCCCCAAAAAAATAAAGACCCGCTACTCGCTACATGTTTGATTCCCGAACAGAGAAAATCTTCGTGTGATTCATAAATTGTGGTTCCGGGTCTGGGTGTCATGTGTACGTTAACTGGTATGTTTGTTAACGCACCCACGATACAGGAGGAAAACCTACTGTAGAGCTATGTAAAAAAAGAAACATTGGATAAGGGCCCCGGATCATTGCGTGCCTAAGGGCCGCCGTGTAGTCTAAGACGGCCCTGTCTAAGGGCTCGTACACAAAACTGCGATGCGACGTCGCATCATAAAAATGTGCTCCCTCCCTCTACGCATCGCAAGAACTTGCGAATTGATTCACATCGCACATCAAAATCTTATCTTCCCAAAATCTTCTTTGTTTCTTTTTCTTGTATCTCCTAAGCAATAACAGAAGTGCACACTTCTTGTTACGATCCATGTCACGACCTAGTTTTCAATTTCAAATACGTTTAGTACGGTTGACGGTCGTCGAAGGAATGGTCACCCTGGGAGACGCTTTGTCGCACGAAATCGCATCGCAGCAATTCGCATCTTTTTTTTGCATTGTGAATTGGCATCGCATCACAGTTTTGTGTACGAGCCCTAAGATCCCCAGTATCACAAGGAAATTCTGTAACATCTTACAAAATAGCCTAGCAGCTCCTACTGCTCGTAGCGTGATGTTTTATAGTCTACTAGCTTTTACCCGCGGCTTCGCTCGCGTCACAAGAGGATAAAAAGTAGCCTATGTGACATATACCAATACACACAGCGCCATCTATAACTATACTTTTTTCTCTCGGGAATATCAAATCTTTCCGGGATAAAAGGTACCCTATTATTTAATCCGGACTTCTAACTTTACGTCTGCAAAAATTCAAAGCAATCGGTTTAGTAGTTACGGCGTGAAAGCGGAACAAACAAACAAACAAACCAACTCACTTTCCGATTTATAATATTATTAACATTAACATTAACATATTAACATTAACATTAACATAACATCACGCCTTTTTATCCCCGAAGGGGTAGGCAGAGGTGCACATTTCGGCACTTAATGCCACTGTACAATGTAACACCTACTTTTCACTATTTATGTTATGAGTCCCATGTAATAGGGGGTGAGCCTATTGCCATATACCGGGCACATTTTTCCAGACTCCGTGCTACTACTGAGATTTTTAAAAACCCAGTAATACTTTGCCCGACCCGGGAATCGAACCCGAGACCCCTTGCCCGGCAGTCGCGCTTGCGACCACTCGGCCAAAGAAGCAGTCATTTATAATATTAGTAAGGATAGTATTCCTCTACAAAAATAATTATTTAGTTCGAATGAAGTCGTAGTCTAAAAAAATCAACGTTTTGTTTTGTGTTTCAGGTCCTTACTGAACAAAGCAGAGATGTCCAGGAAAACTAATTTATTTTAATTTTCATTTGTTTCTTATTTTTAATAGTAAATAATCAATGTTGTCTCTATTTTCTGACACCTCATGGGGTCAGTAGAATACCAACACTGTACCTAGTACTATTTTGAAAATGGTTAACTCAATCGCAAGTCACATTTTAAAAACCCAAATCGGATACCCCAACAGAATGTCAAAATGCTATAAAACCCAGAATGTAAAAATACTTACTTGACATAATTCTACTGCCTTCCGTCATCACCTGGTGGCGCTAGTGTCGAAATTGTTTATTTTCAAAAATCGCGGGTTCAGAAGTGACATTGCAAAATATATTTCAGAATAGTACGGCAGGGCCCAGGCTGACACATTCATTCATTTTTAGTTTTGAGTGATGTTATAAACAATCTTTATATTTTCACTATTGTATCCATTTCTGTAAATATACTTTATTCTTTTGAAAATAATGTTGATTATTTATTACATAATCATGTGAAACTCTGTCTCTGTTTATTTGTCCGTCTTTCACAGTAAAACGGAGCGACGAATTGACCTGATTTGTTAAGTGAACATAGTTCAAGGGATGGATAGTAACGGCGCGTCGCGTTCTACGCGCGCCTTAAAGAGCTATTAGACCACCACAGGTTGGGCTCGCTGCCATTGCAGCGGTAAGTCCCCTCTTTGAGGAGTGGCTTGAGAGACGCTACGGCGTCCTCACCTACCGCCTGACGCAGGTCCTCACCGGACACGGAAGTTTCGGGAGGTACCTGTGTCTGATGGGGCGGGAGGAAACGCCCGGGTGTCATCACTGCGAGGACCGCCCTGAGGACACGGTGGAACACACCGTAGCGGAATGCCCTGCGTGGGCTGAGCACCGCCGTGCCCTCAGGGAAGTGATCGGCGATGGCGACCTCTCGCGTCCGGGCCTAGTGCAGGCCATGATGCGGAGCGAGGGGGACTGGGATGCCGTCTCCTCCTTTTGCGAAGCAGTCATGCTAGCTAAGGAGGAGGCGGGACGCGTGAGGCAGCGAAGCGCTGCCTCCTCGCAACCCAGCCATCGCGAAGGACACACCGGGCGTCGGGGATCGCGGGACGATCTCCGGCCACCGTAAGCGCGGGCCTGCGGACGGCGAGCATGGGTGGCTCCCCGTCCGACCAGAAACAGACCCGAGCGTACGGCGCGTCGCGTTCCGCGCGCGCCTCAAAGAGCCATCAGACCACCACAGATGGGGCCAATAGGGCCGATGCCGATTCGGAGTCGCGGAGAACCTAACGGGTAACCGGGGCTCCGGCTCGACGTGCAGGAGAAGGAACGGGGTGGTTTTTAGTCAGTAAGAGTCTGACACTCCCTTCCGCCTCACCCAGGCGGGAGCAGTCATTCGATGATTTTCCCCCCTTAAAAAAAAAAAAAAAAAAAAAAAAAAAAAAAAAGACCACCACAGGTGGGGCCCAATAGGACTGATGCTCGATAAGGAGCCGCGGAAGGCCTAACGGGTTGCCGGGGCTCCGGCTCGAAGAGCAGGAATCCAGAAGGAACGGGGTGGTTTTTAGTTAGTAAGAGTCTGACACTCCCTCTCGCCTAACCCAAGGCGGGAGCGGTCTTTGGATGATATTCCGCCCTCAAAAGAAAAAAAACACAAAAAGGTAACATAGGCTACTATTTGTCTCTTTCTAACAAAAAAATAAAATATTTCGAAAAGCAAATCCTTTTATTTATTTAAAAAAATACAAAATTCATTGGCGTTAGATCATTGATTTCAGTGTTTTTTTTACAAAATAAATGCATTAAGTAAATTATATCAGCTCCTCAGCATGTCTTCTTACTTTCTTACTGGAGAAGTGATCTGAAAGACAAAAAGGCGATTATCCATTTGTTTTTTTTTTATATATTTTATAGACTGCACGGTTGGTGCGGTGGCTGGGCAACCGGCTGCTGTGCAACGTGTCGCGGGTTCAATTCCCGCACGGAACAACACTTTGTGTGATCCACAAATTGTTGTTTCGAGTCTGGGTGTCATGTGTATGTGAACTTGTATGTTTGTAAACGCACACACGACACAGGAGATAATCCTAGTGTGGGGCAACGTTTTAAAGGAGATTATCCTTTTAATATTATCTAAACCAGCTTCTGCCAGCGGCTTCGCCCGCGTCCCCAGAGGTAATGTAATGTTTTGAAATGTTTTATCCCACGGGAACGCGGGCGAAGCCGCTAGTAGAAGTGTTCCGAGTTATACGTACTTTCTAAGATTATTTAGACACCACTGACAAACGGTGAAGGAAAACATCGTGAGGAAACCTGGGCTTATCCTTTCTAATTATAAGTTTGGAATCACCAATCCGCATTGAGCAAGCGTGGTGGTTAATGCTCAAACCTCCGTGTGAGAAGAGGCCTTTGGTGAGCAGTGGGCACTTGTAGGCTGTTGATGTGAATGTAGCTTACCATTGTCAGATGGCGATCTATTTTCCTTCAAAGGTGATCTGATTGATCAGCACGTCACCGTCTCCCTTCACGTGGGTGATCTTGTGGTACGGCGTACGGTGTGTGTAGTTACAGAAGTGTTTTCCGTTCAACTCCACCTGGTGGGGCATAAAATTATAGTCATGTTTTATATTTGTTCTGCATCTCGGCTGGTGGTGCACGAGGATGCGTCCTACGATTGAGCACACCTACATACCTACATAAGCAACCTATTCACTTGGGACTTTAACACACCCAGGTTATTATATATCCCTTCAGCATACACAGACTCTGGCAAAAAATTTCACTCCTTCGCAGTTCGCACAAAGAAGCTTGGAACGACAGTAAATACTCAAATGCTCAAACAAAAGTCTCACTCAAACAGCTCATTAAAACAGTATTTTTAAGTAGATTAGCACTATTTCAATAAAGAAAACAATATACACTCCATGTACTACGTACCCTGATGCAATCTTCTTGACACTCAAATTGGGCTTCAAACGGCTCTCCTTTGATCAGCGGCATGCCTCCACTGCGCTCCTCAGCGCCCCAGTTTCCAGAAAGTAAGGAATTACGAACGATGCGCTGGTCTCCGAAGCGAGGGTTGAAATGAAAAGCGATGTCATCGCTACCGCAAACCAAATTTAACGTGAACCTAAACCAAATATAAATATTTCCATAAATTACGTTTAAAGAAACCGACTTCAGTCTCATTTTTGTAAATTCAATTCAATTCAATTTTAAAAAGTATTTATTTGCGTAAATAAGGTACAGATAGTTGTCATTTTATAATAACTTAGATCCTCTTATTTTGCCTTCAACATCGGAGTGCAAAAATAATGTAGGTACTTACAAACTTGTCACTAAGACAATTTAAATTAAAAGAGAAAAATGTTACAAAATTAACCAAACATGTCATAAATGTCACACACAATATTCTATAAATGTCAATTTTACAGCAATGTCACACCTAATATTATCATAAATGTCACAGTCACCTAATATTAGCATGGAGTCAGTTCATACACTACTTGATTTTTAAATTTGTACTCACCCGTTGGATCCAGGAGGAATGCCACCCTTGACAACCATCTTGCGACCGGGGTACATACCCCCAGCAATGGAATTCGTGAATGGTACTCTCTGGAAACAGAAATAAATTTAAATTTATGCACCTACACTAAACGTGTGTACAATATTTCAGCTCAATCGATTGAAGATATCTGCTTCAAAGTTCATTTGCAAGGTTTCACTACACACACACACACACACACACACACACACACACACACACATACATACTTACATTGCAAGTCAAATAAGAGCTTTTAATATTGGTATGTAGCAAACAGCCCACAGCTGGACTATGATAATGGGCCTCCTCTACACAGGGCCGTCTTAGACTACGCTGGGGCCCTTTGGGCACACAATAATTCAGGGCCCTTGCGTAATGTTTTTTTTTACCGTTGTACCACACTAGGATTTTCTCCTGTGTCGTGTGTGCATTTACAAACACAAACACAAGTTCACATACACATGACACACAGACCCGAAACAACATTTTGTTATTTACACAAAGATTTGCTTCGAATGGGAATCAAACCCGCTACACATTGCGGGGCAGCCAGTTGCCGCGCAACGTGTAGCAAATGAGCAAATCTTTGTGTGTACGTCGTAGAAATAAATAATAATAACAGGCCCCGGCTTGAGGATAGGGGGCTCTGGGCACGGGCCCCGAGTGCTCTTATGGTAAAGACGACACTGCCTCCACATAAGAGGGATATAGGTCTGGCATAAATCCTACATAGTAGATTTGCTCAATACACGAAAAGCTTGAGAATTTCATGCGATGTGGGCAACTCAATTCGACGAACATTTCACTATTTTGTGACCCGTATTTGACCAATTCGGTCCAAAGGCATCGCTCCAATCTAGCTAATGACTTGTCATTTAGAACATTACGGGCCGATTTTCAACCATTAGTTAACTCGTAACTGTACAATAAAATTCACATTTGATTTATTATGGAACGAATTTGTTTGAGAATTGTAAATATTCAAAGTTATTCCTCATTTAAAATTTATCTCGCGTTGGAAAATTTGGCCCTTAATCGGATGTCGGAGGCTCAATTCCCTTAAAAAAAATAGAATAGAATAATGTAAAAACACTCACCGGATTGGTGATTGCAGCCATTATAACTTCGATATTATTTCTTGATCTCACAAATTAACTGACGATTGGTTTCCAACACCCGTTAGGTTCAACTGTCGAGTAACGAATGCTCTGTACCCCCAAACAATCCCTCTTTTATACGTGACTTCAATTGACTCCTGGACATTCCACCGCCGAAATATACGTCAACCAAAATCTAGATCATTCATTCTTTGAAGCTGAGATTTCCTAAATGTCTATTATGAAATTGTGTCGAAACAGGATGCCGACTCAGACACGATTGGGATGACGCCGCGCCGGGGTGTGAGTTAGGCAATAAAATCTGTTCAGTCCGTCAATTTAGATGTTGCAAATATTTGTTTAGTTTGTCGGTTGCATTACAATGATAATTGATGTCACCATTCCCCATGACGAGGACCTCGTGAAAGCTGAGAAAGATAAACAAATAAAATATCTAGACTTAGCTCACGAGGTTGTCGACATGTGGAGTGTGGATTCGGCTATCATTGTGCCGATAGTTGTGTCGGCCAATGGGTTAATCCCTAAAAGCCTCGATGTCCATCTTAGGAGGCTGGCGTTAGGTGGATGTATCAAGGGCCTGATACAGAAGGCAGTTCTCCAGAAATAGCACGTATCGTGAGGAGGTTTCTGTGTCTGGAGCCCTAACCATAGCTTGGACGGTACCACCACGGTAGCTTGGACCATGCTCCCGCTACTGGTCGGATCCTATTTTTTTAATATTTTTAAATATTATTTTTTATTTTATAAGTAGTATTTAAAAATGTAATTTGTAAAGAATTTTAAATAAGTATATGAAAATAAATAAAAAAGCCTTATATTTCTTACTAGCTTACAAAAAATTGAACAATACAAAATATTGGTTTTACGTTATAAGATTTCATTTGCTTTACATCCTTCTCGGTTTACATTGCTTTTAGTAAGAACCCCTCGCTTTATTCGAAGGTGAAGGCCTCCTCTAGTGCTTTCCATGTGTCCCTGTTCTTGGCGATATCCATCCAATGTTTGCCAGCCACTTGGATTATGTCGTCTGTCCACCGCGCGTATGGTCTGCCTCTTTTTCTCGTGCCTGCCGGGCCTGACCAAGATATTAGGAGGAAAGTCCACCGGTTATCTGCATACCTAGCTATGTCGCCAGCCCAACACCATTTTAGTTTCACCGAGCACGCGTTTGGCACGCGTATGTTAGGGAAGGGAGTATACAGCTGTCCAGAAACTTTTGTTTTATTGTTATATGAAAGCCTCGTTGGCCGAGTGGGCGCAAGTGCGAATGCTGGTCAAGAGGTCTCGGGTTCGATTCCCGGGTCGGGCAAAGTATTACTGGGTTTTTAAAAATCTCAGTAGTAGCACGGAGTCTGGAAATGTGCCCGGTATATGGCAATAGGCTCACCCCCTATTACATGGGACTCATAACATAAATAGTGAAAAGTGGGTGTTACATTGTACAGTGGCATTAAGTGCCGTAATGTGCACCTCTGTCTACCCCTTCGGGGATAAAAGGCGTGATGATGTTATGTTACCTATGTTATATGAAAGTTGCTGTTCATGACCTCCTTAAGACTCCAGAAATTTTCCACACCTTTAAAATTATTTTTTCTCTTTCCTGTTCGTTTCTTTAGGCGTGAAAAGATATCTGTTTGCCTAGGTAGATGTATGTGTCAGCATATTCCAGTTGTTCACCTTCTATATTGATTGGGCTCTTTATGTTGTTTGACTGAGGTATAATTTTGAATATTTAACAATTCTTACATAAATTAATTTTATACATACTAAAAACTGTCGAATGTCAATTTGAGGTATTTTACAGTTACGAATTTGAAAATTGGCCTTTAATGTTCTAAATAACAACTTAATAGCTGCATTTTATCAGTGCCGTTACTGAATACCTACAATGATTTGGTCAAATACGGGTTACAAAATAGTGACATGATCGTCGAATTGAGTTGCCCACATCATGAAATGAGATGTTTTCGAATTCTTCTCCATTCGAATCTACATTGTGGACCGAGCGACTAGCTTCACTGCCGGACACACTGACAGACTATTATTCATTTTGTATTTTTGTTGACGTTTCAAGAGTACCAAATTATGGTTTTATTGAAACAAATGCTTTGACTTTGACTTCAAAATTCTCAAGCTTTTCGTGAATCGAGTAAATCTACTATGTAGAATTTATGCCAGACCCATATCCCTCTTATCTGGAGGCAGTGCCGTCTTTACCATAAGGGCGTTCGGGGCCCGTGCCCAGGGATACCATCCTCTGGGGGCCCCAAAGGACCCCCAATTTCTACGACGAACACACACCCTTGGGTTCGATTTCCGCACGGAGCAAATCTTTGTGTAATCCACAAATTGTTGTTTCGGGTATGTGTGTATGTGAAATTGTGAGAAAAAAGAGTGTGGTGCAACGTAATAAAAAAAATACAATTCATTCAAATGCTTTTTGTTTTTATTGGTAGTCAAAGTCAACATGATATCAAGCCCTATTAAAATTCTTAGATTTTTAGAAGTTGGGCCCTAAGGGTTATAACCAGTTTTATGTCGGTGGCGCTGTGGGCTGGGTCGTTCCGTTCCCTACGAAATGGTTGATCGGACCGATTGCTGGCCTACACGTCATACCCGTGAACGGGTGCCTTCTGCTGGAACAGGTCGGCTCGTTCATCGTGATGGTGAGCTGATTCAGTAGGGTTAGTCTAAGATAATAAGACTATAATAATTAGGTAACAACATAAAGTATTGTGTGTAGTGATAGTGGTAGGCGTAGCATGTAAGATATTTATAAAAAAAAAATATTTGATCATGACAATTATGTACTTGTAACATGACAAGGGCACGGACACGAGTCCGTGGAGAAATTCAATTTATTATTTATTTAAAAAAAAAACAGTTTTATGTTTGAGGTTATGTCCAATGGAAAACTAAGTATGGAGTCTTGGCCCACCCTTCAATAGTCACATGTGGTATGCCGTTGAATAGTATGATGTTTTAAGTGGTATACTAGTTACTAATGTACCTATGGTCAAAATATGTTTGTGGTTTCAGAGATACGGTGGCTTAAAGTCATCTCAATCTAAGATATTCCGTTTGGATATTTTACAAGATTTACATACATTATAGGGTAGTAAAGAAAACTGTAGTTATCAATCGCCAAGGTTAAGCATCCCTTGCCGAGATTGACCTGTGGATGGGTGACCATCTATCATGGCGAGTTTCCTTCATATTTCGAAACGAGAAGGTGAAGTAGGTAAGCTTCGAACCTCAATAAAATTGTCTAGACATCCTGACTTCTTTGGAAACATAATTATTGGTATAGTTGTTTTGATGAATAAAATTGAGTGATCGACTGAAAAATAGTGTTATTAGAGAAAGGTGTGGATTGAAAGATGATGTAGTGACAAGGATTGAAAAGGGAATGTTACGCTGGTTTGGACATGTAGAAAGGATGGATGAAAGTAGAGTAACGAAAGAAGTATACAGAGCGGATATGAATAGGGCCGTTGGTAGAGGGCGCCCTAGACGGTCATATAGTGATCAGATTGGCGATATATTTAAGAAGGGCCAAATTAAAAGTACCCTTAACCGACGAGCATGCATAAAAAGATTGATGACTGTTAAAAAAGATGAATGATGAAAGAGGTATGTAAGAATCGTAGTAATCGGCCTTCCTTAGTCTCTGCCTACCCCCATGGGAGACAGGCGTGAAGTTATGTATGTCGTTTTGATGAATTCGAACTTTTAAAAATAATATTGTATCAGGGAACAACAATAAAAGTATGTTGTATAAATTCTGCCGTTCGCCTTTAAAAATATATTTACTCCGTCAGTTAGGTAACTAAAAAATGTTAGACACGTATTACATTTTGTCGTATAAGAAAACAATATATATCTATATAGGTATATAAAAGAAAGTCGTGTTAGTTACACCACTTATAACTCAATAACGGAAGGTTAGATTTGGCTGAAAATTGGTAGGGAGGTAGCTTAGAGCCAGGAGACCGACATAGGATACTTTTTAACCAAATTTTTTTTTACTTTTTTACGAACGAAACGGGGACGGGAAAAAATGGGATGGTACGCGTACGAAGTCGCGGGCAGAAACTAGTACTTGGATAAAACGAATCAAAGTTCGAGCGGGAGCTAGCTACGTCATTTCTACGTATAAAACGTACTTAGAAGTGACGTCACGTTATATTTTAAACATTTTATTACGTTATATTTCGAAAGTATTTGTTTCGGTAAGAAAATAAAAATAATCTCGCCTAATGTTTTGAAATAATCTACCAGACGGATACTGAAATGAAACTTAGTCACCTTCCCTATTGCACTCTCATACGCTGCATGCTGCTGGCCCGGTATGGCCAATACTAATAAGATAATTGCGACCCTTTAACCTGAGCTCTTTTATATTATTCATTTTAATGAATTCTAATTGACGCTGGCTTTTTTGGACATCCTTCTTACGAATTGGGAGTTCCCATGAGACAAGGTATGTACTTCTGAGACGAAATGCCAAAATAAGATTCACACTGAGTACTTAGGAATTACCAGGACTAGGGTCAATGTATTTTATTTCAATGAAGATTATTTTAGAACATACGTGTCTTCATCTACTAACTGCCTCGTTGGCCGAGTGGTCGCAAGTGCGACTGCCGGGCAAGGGGTCTCGGGTTCGATTCCCGGGTCGGGCAAAGTATTACTGGGTTTTAAAAAAATCTCAGTGGTAGCACGGAGTCTGGAAATGTGCCCGGTATATGGCAATAGGCTCACCCCCTATTACATGAGACTCATAACATAAATAGTGAAAAGTGGGTGTTACATTGTACAGTGGCATTAAACTGCAAACACCAAGCGGTCACCGGTGACCGCAACCTATTGTTCTTTAATTGTGTCTATAAATACGGTACTCGACGAGTTAAGTGCCGAAATGTGCACATCTGCCTACCCCTTCGGGGATAAAAAGGCGTGATGTTATGTTATGTGTCTTAATCTAATATTTTGCAACATCTAAATTGATGGACTGAACACATTTCATTGTCATACTCACATCCCTTCGTCATCCCAGTCGTGTCTGAGTCGGCATCCTGTTTCGCCATTTCAGATTAGTATTTAGAAAATCCCAGGTTCTAACAATGATCTAGATTTTGATGAACGTATATTTCGGCGGTGGAATGTCCAAGAATTAATTGAAGTCAAGTATAAAAGAGGGATTGTTTGGGGGTACAGAGCATTCGTTACTCGACAGTTGAACCTAACGGGTGTTGGAAACCAATCGTCAATTAATTTGTGAGATCAAGAAATAATATCGAAGTTATAATGGCTGCAATCACCAATCCGGTGAGTGTTTTTTTACATTATTCATTATTGTGTGTGTAGTGGAATCTTGCAAATGAACTTTGAAGCAGATATCTTCAACCGATTGAGCTGAAATATTGTTCACACGTTCAGTGTAAGTGCATAAAGGCTTGATTTGTTTAAATTTAAATTTATTTCTGTTTCCAGAGAGTACCATTCACGAATTCCATTGCTGGGGGTATGTACCCCGGTCGCAAAATGGTGGTCAAGGGTGGCATTCCTCCTGGATCCAACGGGTGAGTTCAAATTTAAAAAAATATATACAGCCTACACCGGGGCAACGTAAATAAAACCGTTTTTATGGGATAAGCCGGCAAACGAACAGTCGGATCCCCTGATGGTGGACTCAGTACAGTATGTTAGTCTGTCTGCGATTACCTCGCGATTGGCTGAACGAATTACGATGCGGTTTTCAAACATGTTTGTTATACTTAAGAGTAGGTTTTAGTACATGGACCGACTACAAAAAGGAGATTGAAGTCGGTTTTTAAAAAAAATTATCAAAATTTTCACATTTTGTTCCAGGTTCTCGTTGGATTTGGTTTGCGGTAGCGATGAAATCGCTATGCATTTCTACATTTGCTTCGACGAGCTGCACATCGTTCGTAACTCCTTAATTTCTGGAAACTGGGGCTCTGAGGAGCGCAGTGGAGGCATGCCGCTGATCAAAGGAGAGCCGTTTGAAGCCCAATTTGAGTGTAAAGAAGATTGCATCAGGGTAAAAATGTTTTATAATACAATTTATTACTCAATTTTAAGTAGTATTAAATATCGTGCTGTCTCTATCATTTTACAAAGAATTTGTAGTGACAGAACTATTCTTGAGAGCGTCTTAAAAGTTTTGTTTGAGCGTTTGAGTATTCGCTATCGCTCCAAGCTTCCTTGTGCGAACTGCGAAGGAGTGAAATTCTTTGCCAGAGTCTGTGTATGCTGAAGGGATATATAATAACCTGGGTGTGTTCAAGTCCCGAGTGAATAGGTCGCGTATGTAGGCGTGCTCCGTCGTAGGACGCATCATCGTGCACCATCAGTCGAGATACTGGACAAATAAAAAAAAAATGATTATAATTTTATGCCCCACCAGGTGGAGTTGAACGGAAAACACTTCTGTAACTACACACACCGTACGCCGTACCACAAGATCACCCACGTGAAGGGAGACGGTGACGTGTTGATCAATCAGATCACCTTTGAAGGATAATAGTCGCCGTGCGATGTGACAATGGTAAGCTACATTCACATCAACAGCCTACAATTGGCCACTGCTGACCAAAGGCCTTTTATCACACGGAGAACGTTTAAGCATTAAAAATTCAAACTTATAATTAGAAATTATAAGTCCAGGTTTCCTCACGTTTTCCTTCACCGTTTGTCAGTGTTGTCTAAATAATCTTAGAAAGTACATATAACTCGGAACACTTCTACCAGCGACTTCGCCGGCGTTCCCGTGCACCACATAATCTGCCCCTGTTCCAAATATCATTCTGGTACCTTCAGCCATTTTGAAGGGAAGGGAAAGGAGTAATAAATATACAAACTTACACATTTATTATATTAGAATGATAATAATAATATAAAAAATAAAAGTATAGATATAAATATGAATAATTAACTTTTGTCTTTCAGATCACTTCTCCAGTAAGAAGATGCACTGAGACGCTGATATAATTTACTTATTTAATTTTACATTGCATTTAAACAGTCAATGATTTTTATATGTTTTTTAAATAAATAAACTGATTTGCTTTTCAAAATGTTTTTTCTTGTTAGTAGCAAATAATCCGAATACCGAGTAATATAATAACCTTTCTGCCTTGCGAAATGCTCCATACAACCTCTGCTCTTTTAAAGAAGTGGTAAGATAGAAAGAGACAAAACAAAGCCTTTGTTACTCTCCATCCATTTGTCTATCTTCATTTAAAATACTCCCGTCAATGTGCCGCTCCGTTCTGTCGTGGGAGCCGTTTTATTATTTTTGAAACTGTCGTATATAAGGCAGTTAGTTATGATAAGATACACAATTTATGCACGCCCCCAATCATGAGGAAGTTCATTACCTTCCCCACCATGCACGGGGCAAAGCTCACAAAGAAAGATGTAGTACTTACTATTCTGATTAGACGAAAAACAAAGTTTCGTCCGAAACTTCGCACATTTCCTACTACAATTCCATTTATTACGAAGTCAGTTTCGTGAACGAAAAAGGAATGAATTAAGCAGGACATTAGTATGAGATGTACCTGTTTGACGTTTAGACTTCAGAACCCTAATCTAATTGCACAATCCGCACAAACGAAAGTTCAAGTTTGACAGATTATTCTTCGGACATTTAATATCTATTCGATAATTTTGATGAAAATTGAATGTAAGTAGGTAAGTAGCAAAGAGTATAATAAGTATAGGGGATAAGAGTTGCCACTCGTCAAAATTTATGCCAATCAATTTGAAACGCCATCTGAAAATTGCATCCTAGTATATTTATTTTTTACTAACATCTACAGATAATTCTATGTAGAGGTATAGCTAATGCCAATACTACCAACAATGTACCTTGCAGGTTGGTGTCAATAACAAACCTAGTTATTTATCTTCATTTTATTTATTCATTTTAATTCATGAAAGTTCTGTGTGGTTCCGAAAATGTTGTTTACGGTCGCAAATTAAACGATAATTCGCATTCGAGAACCGGAGAAAGTACGATAATCTGGGAAAATCTTACTACTACGTATTAAAACAAAAAGCATTTGAATGAATTGAATTTTTTTATTACGTTGCTCCACCTTTGGATTTTCTCACAATTTCACCATACACACAAACTCGAAACAACAGTTTGTAGATTACACAAAGATTTGCTCCGTGCGGAAATCGAACCCGCGGGTGTGTAGTCGTCGTAGAAATTATCGGTCCTTTGGGGCCCCTGAAGATGAGGGCCCTGGGCACGAGCCCCGAGTGCCCTCATGATAAAGCCGGTACTATTCATACCCCGACATTATCCCTATTTTGTGTCGCGGAGAACCTAACGGGTTACCGGGGCTCCGGCTCGAAGTGCAGCAGTAGGAACGGGGTTGTTTTTAGTCAGTAAGAGTCTGACACTCCCTCCCGCCTCACCCGGGCGGGAGAAGTCATTCGATCATTTTACTCCCCTTAAAAAAAGTCTTGGTAATATTGTACAATATATATAATGTAGGTTTTACTATCGCTTCGTAAATGTATCAAACTTCGTGTCTGCCGTGTTCCTTGTGAGGTGCAGCTTGAAGATGTTCAATCAGGACCATCACTACTTCTGTAAAAGATATAATATCAAATCAATTACATACATTTTTTTTATTGGTTTATGCGGTGTACGAGCAGACGCCTGCAGACGGATTATCTGATGGTAAGCATTCGGCGTCGCCCATGGGCACCTGGAACACTAGAGGCGTTACAAGTGCGTTACCAGCCGTTCAGGATTAGGAATTTGAGGATTGTTGGGGATTTAGGGATTGGGAAAGGGGGAGGGGTAATTGGGTCTCCGGTAACCTCACTCACACGACACATGGTTTTTTGCTCGGCCGTGGTATCACTCCGGTCAAGTCGGCCCATTCGTGCCAATGCATGGCTCTCCCACAATTAGAACATACACGTGGTATTGAGTTTGTCTTTATATTCCGTACTCTGAATGCTATTGTAGCTACGATTGTGGTTGTATAGTGTTAACATTGAATAATTATTGAGATTTTATTGGTTTGAAATTGCATTGACATTGAGATTGGTTTCAAGAGGACCCCTGGTACCCGCTAATTCGTCCACAGCTCCAGGTCCCCGCTTACCTGCGTTTGGTCTTAACACACTTGACGGGCAGCTGGAGATGTCTCTGTATGCCATGCACGTTGGCTAAGTGTTTCTTCACTGATGCTGGTCGCTTGTAGCTGAAAAGGAAATATTTAAATTTAAAATTTAAAACTGTAATTTTAAACTGTTAAATTCGCTCGCTTCACGACTAATTTTATTTTATTTTATTTCATGTTCCCATAGTCATAATATAATTATCTATACATATAAGTAAAAATTAATTTCCGTTCATTGTCCCATACTAGGACTTTTTCCTGTGTCGTGTGTGCGTTTACAAACATACAAGTTCACATACACATCACACACAGACCCGCAACAACAAACTGTGGATAAAAAGATGTTCCGTGCGGGAATCGAACCCGCAACACGATGCGAGGCAGCCAGTCACCGCACCAACCGTGCAGTCATCATAATTTATAATATGTAATGGGTCGACGGTTGACCACTATCTCGCCTGATGGTAAGCGATGATGCGGTCTACGATGGAGCTCGTCGTCCCATAAGCAACCTATTCACTCGGGCCTTGAAGACACCCAGGTTATACCCTTTAGGAAATACAGACTCTGGCAAAGAATCCACTCTAGATCGGCTATTCATATCCAGTCGTCGCAATGGTCACGAGGTGGTCATTCATTCATTCAATCATTCATTCATTATTTCATTCATTCATACATTTATTCATTCATTCGTTCATTCATTCATTCATTCATTCATTCATTTGTTCATTCATTCATTCATTTGTTCATTCATTCATTCATTCATTCAGGTCTAGGACGCCAGCGTCTCATGCATGAGTGTGCGGTTTCAAAACCTACCAACGGCAGTAATACTTTGCCCGACCCGTGAATCGACCCCGAGACCTTTGCCAGGTAGTCGCACTTGCGACCACTCGGCCATCGAGGCAGTCAGTCAGTAATTTCTAATGATAAGTTTGAAATCGCCAACCCGCATTGAGCAAGCGTGGTGATTAATGGGACGTAGTTATGCTACAACGTTCCAATCCACACGCAGGTCGAACTGAGTAAATAGCATTTTTGTAATTTTGTGGTACGCTTTTTTTTGGTACCGAGTACAACTAAGTTGTATATATCACTTCAACTTAATAAATAAACATTATTTTATTACATACTTTTCATTAAAATTTGTTAATATTTCTCATACAAATTATGAAAAAACTGCACTTGGAACGTTTTTGAAAAAAGGCTTTTTGTATGGAAGTATATTTTAACTTAATTTGCAAAAACGATCCAATATCTGAAAATTGGTATATTTTGGTAGTTAATATATATCTTTTCTAAAACATAAGTATAACAATGAAACAACATTATTAAAAAAATATTTATTAAGTAATAGTTGTATCAAAGTGTGGGGATGCATAGGTACATTGTTATCGCGTTGTTATATATATATGAAATGATTTAATAAACGTACACCAGTTGGCACTCAGACAGCGCACGTTTCATTTCTCTCTCAACACACATGTAACTCTACACTGGTGACCCCGACTACTCATAATTCCCAGTCACGTTGACATTCCCGGTAACCAACGTGCCGTATGCGATTTTTGCCGACGCATCGAATAACTGCGTGGGAGCCGTGTTGCAACAATATATCGATAAGGAATGGCACCCATTAGGCTACTTTTCTAGAAAATTAACCGAAACACAAAAGAAATATAGCACCTATGACAGGGAATTGCTTGCTATATTTTTAGCCGTAGAACATTTTAGAAATTTATTTGAAGGACATGACTTAATAATCTTCACAGATCACAAACCCCTGACATTTGCATTTTCTAAATTAACTAAAAACAACAATAAAGAGAGCCCAAGGCGCATTAGACAATTACTATTTATAAGCGAATTTACAACAAATATTCGCCATGTGAGTGGGCAAGATAACGTTGTCGCGGACGCGTTATCACGTATAGACAGTATTAAGTGTACATCGAGTTTCATCGACTTTGAAAAATTAGCCTTAGAGCAAAGCCAAGACACAGACCTTAAGACCTTATTAATAGATGCTAAACATAAATTTAAAAAGTTCATTGTTCCTGGTACTAATCAATCAATTTTTTGTGAAATTTCACATGAAAATGCAAGACCTTATTTAACGAAAAATTTTAGAAAACAAGCATTCCACATGATACACAATCTTAGTCATCCTGGCACGCGTACTTCGCGCCAGATGATTAAAGAAAAATTTTTTTGGCCAAATATGAATCGAGACATAGGAGTGTGGACAAAGACATGTATAGCCTGTCAAAAGTCCAAAGTAAACAGGCATATCATTTCAAATTACGGTAAGTATCCACCAGTTGACAGATTCGATCATATCCATATTGATTTAATTGGACCTCTTCCAATCACATCAGATGAATATAGATATTGTCTAACGATAATAGACAGAGGTACTAGCTGGCCTGAGGCTTATCCACTTAAGGAGATATCAGCGGAAACGGTAGCGCATAAATTATATACAGAGTGGATATGTAGGTTTGGCTGCCCTGCAAAACTCACAAGTGACCAGGGCAGACAATTCGAAAGCAGAGTATTCGCAATACTAATGTCATACCTAGGGGTACAAAAAATAAGAACAACGCCATACCATCCACAGAGCAACGGAGTCGTAGAAAGATGGCATAGGTGCGTTAAAGCTTCATTAATGGCACGATTAAATAATAATAAAAACTGGATACACGAATTACCTTGCGTAATGTTAGGCCTTCGTGCAGCCATTAAATCAGAATCAGGAGTCAGTGCAGCACAGATGGTATACGGCCGCTCTTTAAGACTGCCAGGTGAATTTTTTGTCGAAACAAGTAATGACTTAGACCCTTATACTATTGTCCAGAACATTAGGAATAACATACAACGATGTAAACCTGTAGACATGAAATCTAACAATTCCACATCTTTTTTTGTTCATCCTGATATCAAAAAATGCACACACGTATTTTTAAGAGTAGACAAAGTAAAAAAGCCTCTAATATGTCCATACGAAGGTCCCTATGAAATATTAGAAAGATCAGAAAAAGTGTATAAGATACAATTAGAAAATAGAACATTATCTGTTTCAATTGACAGGTTAAAACCTGCTTATTTATTAAAAGAAAAAGAAACTATTCATACGAATGGAGATAAGAAAGAAACGCGTAGTGGTAGAATTAGCAAGAAACCTGTAAGATTCTTGTAAAACGGAACATTCATGTAAAAAAGTGTAATTAATAAGTGAACATTGGTAATGTACGTAGTATATGATAAATGTTGACTAGACTTTATAATAGCACTAGTGTTAATATAGAAATAATGTAATAATAAATCATTGCACCACTTGCTGAGCCAACGGAAAAATTTAGAAGTCATAGTAATATGTATACATTATGAAAGCATCATTATAACGCGTAATTCAGTGCAGCAAACTTGAATCAAAATATTACATTCTGTTTAAAGTCTATTAAGTTTTACAAAATGGGTAAAACATATAGTGTTGAGAAAAAGACGGAAGAAGTAATTATTGCTCAAAACGGAGCGAATAATGCTTCCAATTCACACGTTGAGCAGAAATTAGAAACATTCGGCATCATAATAATTGCCATCGCAATACTTATTGGCATCTATATAACATACAGGATGCTACGAAGATGTAAGCAAGGAGCTCAGAAAATATTACGGAAAGAGATGACAGTTTGGCATAGCAACATGAATATACCAATGGCACAACAAGTGATGCAACCACAACATACTGTGTAACGTTTAAATAGTGATGTATTAATTAGTATAAAAAGTTCAAAGAGTGTTCAACAATAAAAGTGCTAGTATAAATCATAATATAAGTATGTCAATAGCAAACGTATGTATGGTAGAATATTAAACACGGAATTATATATAATTAAATTAAAGTGCATTTAGAATTATCTAATGTTCCAATGAAATAGAACATCATACTGTATACTATTAACACATTAGTAATACGACACGTACATAGTGTTGTTGATACTGCAACATTGTACGATAGGATAAGAAATAGTACTAAGGAGATAAGCTAAAATTGTAATGAAAATAAAATACCTGTAATTTTATTTTAAGATATGTCATGTATTAAAAAGGGGGGAATATTGTGGGGATGCATAGGTACATTGTTATCGCGTTGTTATATATATATGAAATGATTTAATAAACGTACACCAGTTGGCACTCAGACAGCGCACGTTTCATTTCTCTCTCATAACTCTACAAAAGCATGGAAAATCATCACAATTTATTCATCGTCCAGATCGAAATCCAGCTCCTTACCAAATCCATCGACGTCGTCAAGGGCGTCATTAGACGCTTTCAATGTTTTATAAAAACTAAGGCAATCTGCTGGTATAAACTTGTAAACTGATCGTAAATCAGCCAATTTAGCTGGAGCAATGGGTTTCCCGTTAGGCCATAACTGTTTCAGATCAGATCTATGTATAGTCGAAATCTCTCCTTTTGTAATTTTTTTAATGTTAAGTTCGTTATAGTCATCATCAAGGCACGTTTTCATATAAATAGAATATAATCTAGCTTTTACGATCTTTATTTCCTTTGTCAGCAGCCAGTTTATTTTACTTTGATTTGTAAATTTCTTACGATTTACAATCTTTTTTTCAATTTCTTCAGTGCCATAAAAGTCATTTTTGTGCATTTTATATACTTGAAATGGTTTCTTTTTTCTAGCATTTTTCATTATATCTATATATTCATCAGCTGTATAAACACGTTGATGCTGTTTAAGCGCAGTTTCAATTTTTGAAAAATCGGTATCGTTAGGTAAAAAACTATGCCCTGACTCAAGATACCGAAAAGTTATCGTTTTTAATGTAGAATGGGAGTCTAAAATCACCTTCAACATTAAAACAATTTTTATGTTTCGGTTCTGTCCACCGCAACAATCACTCCATAGTACGAGATGTTCTATAGTAGGAGGTAGTTTGTTTTCAATATATTTGACAAGGCATGATCCTACTTCCTGAGCGCCTCTTCCGGCTTCACCCTCCACCCAAACATAACAGTGCCCTACATCATCTGATGCTGAATGTATACCGCTATTATATAGCCAAAGCTGACGTTTATAAAAAATTACGTTTGTCGGTATACGAGGCAGAGGCAAAGTTTTTTCGAGATCAAATGACAAGCATTCTATGTTTGGGGTGTTTCGTGCAGTTTCAAAGTCGCTTTTCATCTGTTCCCTCATTTTTTGTGCCTTCTCTAAGTGTAACGCTTTCTCAGCCTCTACTTTTGTTTTTTCTGATCTACTAGTGTTTTGTAATTGCACCGCAAACAGATCGCACTTATTACACGTGTCTTTTTTTAACTGTTTACATCTCAAATTAAAATGAGTCAAGAAAATTTTCTTGACAGTTTCAAGAGAGGCACATTTCAACTCGGTGCCAAATTTTTCAACAAAAAGTTGCTTGTAAATATCATAAAGTTTCGATATTGTCATGCCAGGCTCTAAATATTGAATCTCATTGTTATTCTCCCTACGATAATGCGATTCATATTTAGGTAATTTTGAAATAACTTCCTTAATAAAGTTTAAGTTCTGTTCAGTCAATTTATTCCAGCTTTTGTCTTTCATGCCTCGACAGTCATTTATTTCATTATTACGAATCTTGTATAATGCTATGGTAACTTTTTGTGTTGTAATTTGTAGAGTGTGCAGGAACATATCGCGACAGACTTTGACATCGTTAAATTTATAGGTGCGATGAAATTGTTTAGGCTTTTTTTTGGTAACAGGGACAGAAGTCATGGTGTAGCTCCGTTTTTTCGGTTCTTCTGTGACACATGACTTAATGTACATTAACTGAGCATTGTAAGATCCAAGAGTTACATAAGTCTCAAATATTTGTTTTCGATCTTCCAACGAAATTGCACTGGCACATTTTTTAAGACATTTGCATTGATAATCCTGAAATACTTTTGGTTCAATTTTTTTCTGTGAGCGTACAGTAGTATATGATAAATTATTATATTTTTTAAACTTTCTTTCCGAATTAGATTCAGGATGCTTACGTTTGCGGCCTTTTTTCGGTCTTCCAGCCTGGGAACTAGATGTTATTATTACTTGGTCATTGCTTTCATTAATATTTTCTTTATTTGAGCATTCAAGTTCCTTTTCAGGTGAAATGTTTCCTATTTTCTGAACTTCAATGAAAGGACTTAAAACTTCACTATGCTTATCTAAGATAGTTTTTTGAGGAGTAGGTAAATAAGTTTCATCTTCATCTTGTGTTATAGTGTCATGTCTTATATCATTTTCTACATTCATAGTTGTTGAATTTACCTCTAATACCCTTTTCTTAATGCATTCTTCACTACGAATTACGAAGCTCTCAATGTGTTCATCTCTAGTGTTGTTATTGGTTTTTGTGTAATTGTCGTCGCCACTAACATTTGATTCACAGTCTGTTTCAGAGTCCGTTAAATTACGAATCTCATAGTTTGGATCAGCAACACTATCATCACTATTTTCAATATAATCGGGTGAATTATTTTCAAGACACATTTCTTGCTCATTAAGGACATTAAAAATTTTCCGAGTTTCAGGAGACATACATGGAAGAGGCGATGCATCCTGTTCTACGTCATTGAGAGCTGTTGTAATTTCTGGAGTCATATATGGGAGGAACGATGAATTTGGTTCTAAAGTAATCGTAGTTAATTCTGTACTATTCACAGAAGTTACATCAGCATGAGTGATTGGCAGTGGTGTATCTGGAGTGCATTCACCTGAAATTATATAATTTCAAATAAAAATTTAATTACGAATACCGACCAAATAACAAGATAAAAATCATGTTTGTTGTTTGAGAGTCCCCCTCAAATATCTATTTTATTATGTCTGTTAGCGGTAATAGAAATACATCATCTGACTCAAATTGTCAACTATCTACCTATCACGGTTCATAATATACAGGCTGGTGCTGACACCACGCTGACAGCGAAGTTTTAGTAATGGGGTCCCATCTTTCCCTTTTGGGTACAGAAACCTAAGTACCCAATTTGTCCACGTAAATTAAGTTTAAAAAGTATACATATGTACGTACTCAGCTGATTTTTTGTTGGCGAAGAAGTTGAACACACGTGAGTCAATGGATTGTCAGTATAAGATACATCTGAAAACAACAAGATGAATTTAGAACCATCTACACCGAAATTTACTGAATAATGCCAAATAATTCATAACACTACTTACGTTCTTTGTTTTCTTGGTTACTTTTTACGTACATTCGAGGAGTAAGTGGTGAAAATGGTGGTGGAGTAATTGAAATCTCCGTAGTTGATGATAATGGAGTGTTAGGCTTGTCCGATGCGATATCATCATTTCCTGGATGGTAAAAAAAATGTTGATACGAATGATTGAGAGAAAGAAATAATTTGATGTAAAGTAAGAAGATAGATATATTCTTTATTGCACATAGAAGAAACAATTGATAACAAGTTACAAAGTATAAAAAAAGTTAATTAGGTTAATGTTTTTAACGACCCTACAAGTCCCACAGTAAAGATCTGACTGTGCCTCTTTACATTCTAATTATACTACTTTTGCAACGTTAGGATAACTTGGGCCGATCCCCGAATCAAATCGGACACCTCTGAGCAATCGGGCCAGTATTACGACTACTCAACATTGCCTAAATTGGTTAACTAATATTTCATTTTCGATAATACGTTTTAAGTTACTTAGTACCTAAGTACTTACCGTCGTCATCTTTTTGGCCACGACATTTTATCGTATCTCGCAAGCTTAATAATTTTCGTCTTTTTGACAACAAGATCATTAAATCCTTGTTATTCTCATTGTTCTTGTCATACTGCGAAAAATAAACGACTAAACTTAAACCACATTTACTTAAATAAACCACATTTTAAGTAAATCAAAACAGCGCCAATAATTAGGTAACAAAAAACCGTCTGATCAATAGGTACACAAATTAGTTACTTACTTCTTCCTCGTTCATCGCGAACACAAACTACACTTTATATTTTTATCTAAAACACGCTTATATTAAAATATCAATATTGAGAGCAATTAGCCGCACGCACTTGTTTACATTAATATAGGTCAAGAGCAACTGTCACTGTGTCACAACAAATAACAATCGATGCGCAATCTTTCCGCGCATCTTACCTATCTAGGGAAGAGGAGAGAGAAAACATACGCCACACCAAGGCGTGGGAGTAGGATGGTAAATGTAGGTAAGCCGCGCCGCGCCGTAGTCGTTACGTGAGTTAAAATTTTATAACAAAATCTAATTTGTTTCCCATAGTCGTAAGTTACATTCATGTAGTTTGAAACATTGTTAATTTTCATATTTTATTTACAAATCAGAAAGATAAGGGTCCTGATTCACACTGTAAGCCGTGTAATGATTATTCATAAAACGTTTCAAATGACAATGGAACGTTTTATTGTTTAGATGTATTATTTTAGTGATAACGTTCCAGACTCCATAACGTATAATTTTTTTTCAAGTTGCCACAATATTTCGCTACCTAGTTGTATAATTATTATTTTAGACAAGGCCTTAGTATAGAAAATACAAAAGTGATGGATCGTTTAATGATTAGATAACTGTATGTTCCTACCAGTGTACGCGTTGTCTTTTATACTTTTACGAATTATTTCGCGATTTATTAACATTTTATTTCGATCACTTTACAGCGTTTGGGGTTACAGGTAGACTGAGCTTTAATTTTACTAATATGAATTTATCGTACACATTATAAAGTACATGGAATGTTTTGAAGAAATAGATAATAAAAAGAAATAATGTAACGATATAGATGAATGGATCATTATTTTTATGTTATTCAGTCAAAAACGAATGAAAATAGTACGATCCAAATGTCACTTTTTAAGATATAAAATGGTTATTTTTAAAAAGTTCCAAGTTGATTGAATCGTTATTTTTATTTTATTCAGTGCAAAAAGAAATAATATAGAACGATCCAAATGGAATGTCACTTTTTAAGATTTAAAATTGTTATTTTTAAAAAGTTCCAAGTTGATTGAATCATTATTTTTATTTTATTCAGTGCAAAACGAAATAATATAGACCGATCCAAATGGAATGTCACTTTTTAAGATTTAAAATTAATTATTTTTAAAACGTTTCAAGATGATTGGATCCTTATTTTTATTGCATTCAGTCCAAAACGAATTAAAACAGTACGATCCAAATGTAATGTCACTTTATAAGATTATAATTAGATCTTTTGGTTCGTTTTATCATTTAGACCGCTTAATTATTTCAATAGTTATTGTCGTAAGAGAGTCAGTGTCTTTAGCACTAGATAGGACGATCCAAAATACCTAGCTTGGGCTCAAAAACTCAATTTTGACCACCTTGTGGATTGGAACGTTGTAGCATAACTACGTCCAATGGTCAAACGATAACCGTGTGAGAAGAGGCCTTTGATCAGCAGTGGGTATTTATAGGCTGTTGACGATGCTGATTAGTCTCTTTATAAGTCTCTTTATTACTAACCCAATATGGACTAACTAGTCTGAAATAAATGATTTTATTATTATTATGTGTCTTTACCATTCACGGGACCACAGGGACGATCATTTGGGAGGCGTACGAGGGGCCGAAGCCAACTGCGCAGAGGCCCTTTAGACAACTTTAATATAAATGTAATGGGCACACAAACCGGCAAGTATCCTTGTATGCACTATGGAAATGCACCCAAGGACAGTCCCCAGTTAGTGTAGAACTATTGTAAATAATGGAGAAAAAAAAGGTAGGGCTATGGATGAGTTGTTGTGGATAGGTAAATTAGGAACTATGGATGACTATGGCACCTGCCGAAACAATGTAATTAATACACGTAAAAATGGCAGGCGGAGACTCGCCAACTCACCGACCGGGCCCCGGGAATGGTTGCTAGATATAGCAGGATAGGGGCAACGAGAATGTGAGTGGTTATTATTATTATTAGATTTACGTGTGTATGGTGTGAACTGATGTATACTCACGTCTCAGGACAGAGGTAGCAGTGATACGTATAGAGAAGGTAGTGCACTCTATTCTGATGACTCGTCAGCTCCGAGCGACTGCGGAACATCGCGGGGCATCTGTCGCACTGACGGACAAAATCAGTTTGTCAAAATCAATTTAACATATAATATTTACAGTAGCTACGCCAACCCGCATTGAGCAAGCGTGGTGATTAATGGTCAAACCTTCTCTGTGTGAGAAGATGCTTTTGGTCAGCAGTGGACATTTATAGGCTATTGATGATGATCATGATTTACAGTAGGGACTAAATAACATAACATAACATCACGCCTTTTATCCCCGTAGGGGTAGGCAAAGGTGCACATTACAGCACTTAATGCCATTGTACAATGTTACATACACTTTTCACTAGAGGTATTTAGGTTATGAGTCCCATGTAATAGGGGTTGAGCCTATTGACATATGCTCCGTGCCACTATTGACATTTTTTTTAAAACTCAATAATATTTTGCCCGACTCGGGAATCGAAACCAAGACCCCTTGCGCGGCAGTGCATTGCGACCACTCGGCCGACGAGGCAGTCATCATTTATACATACATCTAATCTATATATATAAAAATGAAACCCGTTTCCCGTTGTCACGCCATTACTTGAGAATGGCTGGACCGATTTGGCTGATTTTTTTTTGTTGTGTTTGTTATTATCAGTAGAAGGTTCTTATAATAGAAAAAAAATCTTGAAAATCTTATGGGAACGGGAGAAATCGGGATTGCCCGTACGAAGTCGCGGGCAGAAGCTAGTGAACAATAACCATCGCGGAGAACCTCACGGGTTACCGGGGCCCCGGCTCGAAGTGCAGCAGTAGGAACGGGGTGGTTTTTTAGTCAGCAAGAGTCCGACACCCCCTCCCGCCTCACCCAGGCGGGAGCAGTCATTCGATGATTTTCCCCCCTTAAAAAAAAGTGTACAATAAGTCCTCGATATTACCTGGAGATTCCTAACTCCGAAATGCTTTCTCATATGCTGCGCTATATTGGCACGCATTCGGAATGAGTGGCCGCATACGTCACACACGTATGGTCGATCCCCCGTGTGAGCTGCGCGGACGTGATTCTGTAACGCATTGGATGACGTGACGTTATAAATGGTATGTGACTTTTTATAATAACTATCGTGAGACATACTAAATTAACTAATAATTGCGCGTTACTCACGTAAATGTATCGAGAAAAGCTCTACTAGTTACGAACCACAGAGAGGTTCTTCCTCACGACTGGCGATGCGAGCGCCAACGCTAGCTAGTAGGCTGCGCAACATCGCCGCACACTGGTCATGAGGAAGAACCCCTTTGTGGTTCGAAACTAGTAGAGCTTTTCTCAGTATATTCACATGAGTATTTTTTTTAAACGTTGCCCCACAATAGGATTTTCTCCTGTGTCGTGGGTGCGTTTACAAACATACAAGTTCACATACACAATGACACTCAGACCCGGGATTTGTGGATCACACAAAGTGTTGTTCCGTGTGGGAAATTAACCCGCGATACGTTGCACGGCAGCCGGTTGCCCAGTCACCACACCAACCGTGCAGTCAAGGTTACCCGCGATTTTTAGTTAATTTGGTATAACTTGACATAACATAAAATAACACGGTATACTTGATATGAATTATTAAAGGACGTTTCTCGTGCATAGGTTTCAAAACTTAGCATTTTTTTATGCCATAAGCCGGTAAACGAGCAGACAGATCACCTGATGGTAAGCAATCGGCGTCGCCCATGGACACCTGGAACACCAGAGGCGTTACAAGTGTGTTACCGGCCTTTTGGGGATTAGGAGTTTGAGGACCGTTGGGGATTCAGGGATTGGGGAGATTGGGGAAGGGGAGGGTAATTGGGCCTCCGGTAACCTCACTCACACGAAGAAACACAACGCAAGCGTTGCTTCACGTCGGTTTTCTGTGAGAACGTGGTATCACTCCGGTCATCGTGCCGAAGCATGGCTCTCCCACACTTAATCTACCACACCATGCATGAGGTTTTTTAAGTTTAGATGAGCCATGCTTCGGCACTGCTGGGCCGGCTCCACCGGAGTGATACCACCAACGAGCAGAAAAACACAGTGAAACAACGATTGCGTTGTGTTTCGTCGTGGTCGTGAAAGGGATAGGAGGCCGAATTACCCCACCCAATCCTTAAATCCCAAGAATCCACAAAAATCCTAATCCCCAAAAGACCGGTAACGCATTTGTAACGCGTTGCGGTTATCCATGGGCGACGCCGATTACTTGCTATCAGGTGATCCATTTACCGGATTATCACATAAAAAAGCAACGGCAAGTACCAAAGTAATATTTTCCGAGTTATATGTACTTTCTAGTTAAATGTACTTTCTAAGATTATTCAGACACCACTGACAAACGGTGAAAGAAAACATCGTGACAAAACCTGGGCTTATAATTTCTAATTATAAGTTTGTAATCGCCAATCCGCATTGAGCAAGCGTGGTGATTAATGCTCAAACCTTCTCCGTGTGAGAAGAGGCCTTTGATCAGCACAGATGATAACAGATTAATACAACGACTGTCGTACTAACTGACCTGTAACTGCAATGGGTCAACAGCTCTGTAGTTACAGCTGGTGCAGGCGAGCCGCTTCCTCCTGCCGTGCATACGTTGCTGGTGATACCGCATATGACTTGGATTCACAAACTTTTTGCCGCATTCCTGAAATAAAACGAGAAATATCTGACAAGAAACTCTATCGGGTCTTTTCGTCAACTCTACCGCATGAGTCCCACGTAATAGGGGGTGATTCTATTGCCATATACTGGGCACAATTCCAGACTTCGTGCTACTACTAAGAATTTTAAAAAATACCTAGAAGTACTTTGCCCGACCCGGGAATCGAACCCGAGACCCCTTGGCCAGCAGTCGCACTTGCGGCCACTCTGCCAACGAGGCAGTTTCTTTTCTTTTTCATTTATTAATAAATATTTTCTGCTAAAGTATTTTATTGATTGGCATATAGGAAACTCTATAAGGTCTTTTCGTCAACTCTACCGCAAAGCCTGAAGACAAAAGTCTTCAACGAGTGTGTCCTGCCACTAATGACATACGGAGCCGAGACGTGGACACTGACAGTGCGACTGGTCCACCAATTTAACGTGGCGCAGCGAGCCATGGAGAGGGCTGTATAGCGTACAGCAGAATTATGTATATAAAGATTGCACCTATTTTTTTGTAGTGCCCAGTAATGCATGTATTGCTTGCTATTACAATTTAATGAGGCGCACAATTTATTCATATTTGTGTTAATATATTTTCAACGAAGGATTTCCCGAAAATGTAACGGGAAAAAACGGGATATCGCGGGCAGAAACTAATCTTTAAGTGTGGGAGAGCCATGCTTCGGCACGAATGGGCCGGCTCGACCGGAGTGATACCACGGCTTCACAGAAAACCGACGTAAAGCAACGCTTGCGTTGTGTTTCGTCGTGTGAGTGAGGTTACCGAAGGCCCAATTACCCTCCCCTTCCCTTATCTCCCCAATTCCTGAATCCCCAACGATCCTCAAACTCCTAATCCCCAAAAGGCCGGTAACGCACTTGTTATGCCTCTGGTGTTCCAGGTGTCCATGGGCGACGCCGATTGCTTACCATCAGGTGATCCGTCTGCTCGTTTACCAGCTTATGCCATATAAAAAAAAAACAGCCCGGCAGATGGCGCTGCAGTCACTGTCTAGGTTATTTAAACCTTAATATCTTGAAATAAGTATTGTGGCGACGCATGCCACATGTCAACGGATGACGTCACAAGAATCCTACATCGCACATGCAAAAGTTTACAAGCGAATAAACACGGATAGAAAATCCCAACGAACAACTGTTGGGCAGAAAGCCCGCCGGCAAGATCACCTCGCCTGGTCGGAGGATCCTCCTTTTCCGATCTTAGGGAACTATACTCTCTGTTCCCTAAAGTATCATAATAATATGCAGGACAACGTCTGTCGGGTCCGCTAGTATTATATAAATATACTTACATCACAAGCGTTCTGTGGTTCGAAGTGTGTTTTGGCGTGGCATTTAAAGTTCTGAACATTACGAAGCACTTTGTTACACAAGGTACACTTTAGGGGACCGCCGTTATTGTACGGCAGTGCAGCCAAAGACAGCAGTTTGGCGTCCTGCTCCTAAAATGGAACATAATAATAAAAAATAACGAAAAGCGTTTCATATTTTAAATATGGGAGCAAAATAAACATCACACAAATCAACAGTCTATAAGTGGAGACTGCTGAACTAAGATCTCTTCTGACACGGAGAAGGTTTGAGCATTAATCACCAATCACCATACTTACTCGATTCAAAACCTTAGATAAAAAAATATGAGAAATTATAAGCCTAAGTTTCAAGGTAAACATGGTGATAATAAGTTTGGAAACGCCAACCGGCTTTGAGCAAGTATGGTGATTAATGCTCATACCTTCTCCGTGTGAGAAGAGGGCTTTGGTTAGCAGTGGGTACATAGCCTGTTGATGTGATGAAATGAAGCACTATATGAAATTAAAATAAAAATTAAATACCCCTATGATTTATTCCTATTGATTTAAAAAAAATATATAAAAAAATTACTTAATTCGAATTAATTATACCTTCGTCTGCTGTTTCCTATTCTCTCTCTCCAATAACTCTTTCTCTTTCGAGTCCCAATAGTTAATTTTATTAAATTCTTTTTTCTCAGTTTTAATTATATTTTTAAACTCCTGGTCCAAACTGTCGCTGGATTCATAGTCTTCTATACGGACTGTGACCTCCTTATCACTATTTATAGACTCTAAATCATCTATTAAAAAATGTTCCATAAAATCAGAATCATTACTCGATTCAAAATCTTCAATTCGCACTGAAAATTCTTGTTTGGAGGTGTCAAACCTCTTTTTTCCAACCTTTTTATTCTGTCTATGGTCATTAAGTGGTAAGGATATATTTTTTTCTAATTCTTTTGTTGATATTTCAGTTTCAATTGGTTCAAATTCAATTTTAATTGTTTTTAATGACTTTTTTAATATTTCTTCTGATCTTGAGCTTAGTTCTCTTAGTTTCAATGCGCCGTTGAAAAGATTTAAACAGGAATCACATATTAATTGAGACAAGCCGTCATTTGGCTCTATCTGTAAAACAAAAAAACATAGCTAATGAGTATTCTTGTTCGTTTAAAGACACAAATCTCAGGAACTACATGCCCGATTACAAAAATTATTTTTGTGTTGAATAGTTCATTTACCGAGGAAGACTATAGGCTATAAAACATCGCGCTACGATCAATAGGAGCCGAGCAAAGTGTGGAACCGCGAGGAAGTAGCTAATATAAATAAAACTATAAATATATATTTTTTAAAGAATGCCAGTAATAAAGCGCCCTGTATGTAACTTTTACTGTAATATTTGCCCTTGTAAAATGTTATCGTATCTTTGAAAATTAATGTTATTTTTGTTATCATTTAAAAAATGATTACGTTACCGTACCTTTATTCCGCACACTAAATGTAGCTGTTCTATCCGTAAACTAACGAGATTCTTATCAGGAAATAATTGTTTTAGATCGCTTTTAGATAAACACGTTCTACACAATGTCATTTCTATTGAATATAATAAACTTTAATTTACAATAGCGAAAATGATGATAAAATCACTAAAACAAAATAAAAATTCGCATTTCGCAAACAATAAACTTATCGTTTAAAAGATCGCTATCAATTTATTTCTCTACTATCAAAAGTTGTTAATTAAATTTATCTTTCGGCAGTATTTTGATGATTTTATCTTTATTAACGTTTATTTAGTTTAGAAAATTGTGCTTTAATTATAATCGCACATTGCCATCTATTAATTTATTTGAAGGTAAATATAAAAATATGTTTCAAAATTATAGGCTATCTTCATAAACAGACCTTCATTTTGACGTTTGTTGAGTGGCCAGGAAATGATAAAATATTCCACGTAATAAAAGAAATTAATGATTACGACGATAATTCGAAATCAAACAAAAAAATATTGATTCATATAATAATGAAGTCATTTGCTTGTTAGCCTTAATCAATAAATTGAATTTTGTACTAATATTAAATTCGTTATTAGAAAGTAATTTTCCCTTAACTAGAGTAAACACGATCTGAAGCTTACAACACTGAACTTACTAGTGATGTACATTCACTTTTATAATCAGTGTCGGCACTTCGAAAAAAGGTGCGTCGGATGCACGTGCACATTACTCTAAGGAACACCTCGTCCCTATTCCACTGACCGCTTTCAATGCTTTTTTAATTTCTGCTCAGTTAAGGTTTTAAGTTAATCAATATACCAATTTTACAGTCAATCGTGTGAAGAACTTTATTACACGTCCTTGAGAACCTAAACTCTACCCATCTCCATTAAATCAGTCTTATCTGACTAAAAGAGGGTATGTCGGTGGACCTCACTGAATTACTGAGAATCAAAACACTACATAATTTTAATGATGGTCTATATTTTTCAATTGTAACAGCATTGTTCGAATTAAATAATCTGACCGGATGTCCAGCTCACGCTCGCGCTGCATAACAAGCATTTTTTTCTATTTGACAGTGGTTAAATAGAGTTATACTCCTGTCAAGCCGAGCAGTTTAATAATTGAAATCAAACTGAGACATTTTTTTAGAAATATTCATCGTTATTCGTGACACGATTCATCTAGCAATCGAGTATTGATTTTCAATAATTAAAACTTTTTACTTTTATTTATGAATAATAAACTCAATCATATTGAATAGCACAAAATACCAGATTTCATATCAATGTAATCTTTTCAAACATTAATCCGACGTCTAATTATTTATCTTATCTAAATCCTAATCGCAGTTCTAAAATTCATCTACTTACGCACCAGTAGTCTGTCTGTTTATTTGAAATCACTAAATGAATTAATTGAAATTGTACCTAATTTCAAATGTAAATATTTAATTATTTTAGTTGGAATCTTGTAACAGTTCTTGTAACGCTTGTAACAGCTGGGGTGATCATCATGAATTTTTAATGAGTTGCTTCTGTGAAATGGCAATAGACAGGATGATACCGTTAATATACAAAATAACGGCATACAGTATTTATTGATACATAGAAAACGTGTTTATTAAGTATGTTTATCTCGGCCTATTACGACCTTGTGCTGTGTTGAAAACTGTAGATTTAGATTTATGTTTCCTTTAAAATCTGCGTAAAGAACAGTCTAATAGGGACGTAAAGATTTTATTGCCTCAATAATATTTGCAATAAAGTTTATTATGTGATAAGAATATTATATTCGCAATATTTCTAAGTCATAAGTCCAATTCTAACCCATTTCCTTTATAAATACACATATACAAAAATTATGTTATCTAAGTGTGCTAGCAAATCAACGTATTGATCTTTACGACACAATTTTTTTTATCAATTGATTGTAATATGTATTATATTCTAAGAATCTTAATTTATATTATAACGTGAGTTGTCGATAATGTGTTTATCCCATCCCTACATCAAATGTCATTGACACTGCACATCAGTCGGTCCCGATTGCACGGGGCCTGGTGTCGCACAATAAAAAGCTTGTGAGCGGCGCGCAAGCGGTAATTACAGCTCAACCTTTCAGACATTTGGTCGCCACATGTGTTAAACATAATATTATCACAAAAACGCAACAAAAAACACTTAAAACTGTCTATGTTCGATAAACATCGTCGATCGAATCAGTGTCCGTGAAACATTGTAAATTAATTAAATGTTTTAATTGTAAACTGTTGTGTGGAGTTTTAAATACTTCCGTGGTGGTTCGTGTGTGCAGTCGCGAGTGTGTAGCGTGTCCAGAAACATGGTTATCGAGAAGATATGTTGCTTGGGAGCAGGCTACGTCGGCGGCCCGACTTGCAGTGTGATCGCGATGAAATGTCCGAATATCCAGGTGACAGTGTGTGACAAGTCAGTAGAAAGGATAAACCAGTGGAATTCTGAGAAATTGCCAATATACGAGCCTGGTTTGGACGATGTAGTGAGGCAGTGTCGTGGCAAGAATCTGTTTTTTTCTACTGACATCGCAAAGGGCATACGGGAGGCGGATTTAATATTTATTTCTGTCAACACGCCCACTAAAACGTTTGGTAACGGTAAGGGCAGGGCCGCTGACCTTAAGTATGTAGAGAGTGCGGCTCGAATGATTGCTGACCTGGCTACAAGCAACAAAATTGTTGTAGAGAAGAGCACTGTCCCTGTGAAGGCCGCTGAAATCATTATGAAAATACTGCGAGCTAACACTAAACCAGGTGTGGAGTATCAGATCCTGTCTAACCCTGAGTTCTTGGCTGAAGGAACAGCTATAGTGGACCTGGTAGAGGCTGAGAGAGTGCTAATAGGAGGTGAAGACACTCCGGAAGGCCAGAAAGCTATCCAAGAGTTGTGCTGGGTGTATGAGCACTGGATTCCAGCGAAAAACATCCTTACTACTAACACTTGGAGTTCAGAATTATCTAAACTAGCTGCAAATGCATTCCTTGCGCAGCGGATCTCAAGTATTAACTCTTTGTCAGCGGTCTGTGAAGCTACAGGTGCAGATGTGTCTGAGGTAGCGAGGGCAGTTGGCCGAGACTCTCGTATTGGGCCAAAGTTTCTTGAAGCATCAATTGGTTTTGGAGGCAGCTGCTTCCAAAAGGACATTCTGAACCTAATCTACCTGTGTGAATGTTTAAATTTGCCTGAAGTAGCCGCATATTGGCAACAAGTATTGAGCTTGAATGACTATCAGAAGACTAGGTTCACTAGGAAAGTCATTGAATCATTGTTCAACACGGTATCTGACAAAAATATAGCGATACTGGGCTTTTCATTTAAGAAGAACACAGGAGACACACGGGAGTCTCCAGCTATTCATGTTTCAAAGACTTTACTTGATGAGGGAGCGAAACTCCATATCTACGACCCTAAAGTGGAGCCTGATCAAATATTCTATGAGCTGACAAGTCCGTATTTAACTTCGGAGCCGGAGATTGTGAAGAAAAATGTAGAGATTCATGACACAGCATACTCCGCTGTAACGGGTGCACATGCCATAGTTTTGTGTACGGAATGGGATGAATTCAAAGTTTTAGACTTTAAGAAAATCTACGAAGTGATGATGAAGCCTGCATACATATTTGATGGACGGAAGATTTTGAACCATGAGGCGTTGCAGAATATTGGGTTCCATGTTCAGACTATTGGCAAGAGGCTGAGCCGAGTGGGCAGCATACGAGCACAAGGAAGTCAGACCATGCCTTGATGTAAGTACCTTCTTATTTTTATTAATCTTATGTACCTTGTCATCAACAACCTTTTTTTTATGAAATAAATGGTCAACAAGCAACTGGATCAACTGATGGTAAGCGATTCATCTCATACTTATTTTTTGTTTTTAAAAAAACTTTATTCCACTAACTTCTAAGCCAAGATAGGCGAGACCTTACGATATTTTTGTTTAGGTACCCTCTCACACTAAGCGACTCTCAGTTAAGAGGGGTGGTTGCTCAAAACAACCGCGATACCGGGTTAAAAAGTAGCCTATGTGTTAATCTACCCCTGTTCCAAATTTCATCCCGATCCCTTCAGCCGTTTAGAGTCATAAACATACAGACAAACTTTTACATGTAAAATATTCAGTTAGTAGGACAATCAGATCACCTCTGTCTAACATGTGTGTGCTTTTAAAGAGCAGAGAAAGATAAAAATAAGTTTTGAATGGTGACCCACCCCACAAACGACCGTGAGAAGTGTAGCTTAACCGTCTTTACGAAACAAATTACACAGTCAGAATTGCATTATGCATTAGTTACATAACACTCACGCGATATTGAACTTAAAACAAAAGAAAAAACGTTTATTGTTCAATGCTCGTTAAAAAGTAACTGCATAATGTACTAGTCATGCAATTTTAAACCCAAATTAGTGCAACATAATGATGAATTTGATACAAACTTAATTGATTACATTGCTTTCTCCTTGCGAGGTTCACTGTCCAGTGACATCGTCATGAGCTAATGTTCACATGTAGACAGCAGCTCATGTAGTGTAGATGTCCAGTCAACTGATGGTAGCGAGGTTCACGGTCCAGTGACACACGTACGCTGGTATCGTCATGAGCTAATGTTCACATGTAGACAGCAGCTCATGTAGTGTAGATGTCCAGTCAACTGATGGTAGCGAGGTTCACTGTCCAGTGACACACCGTACGCTGGTATCGTCATGAGCTAATGTTCACATGTAGACAGCAGCTCATGTAGTGTAGATGTCCAGTCAACTGATGGTAGCGAGGTTCACTGTCCAGTGACTCATGTGCGCTGGTTTTTTTATCGTATAAGCCGGTAGACGAGCTGACGGATCACCTCTAAGCAATCGGCGTTGCAAGTGCGTAACCGGCCTTTTGGGATTAGGAATTTGAGAATTGTTGGGGATTAAGGGATTTGGTGGTAATTGCGGCCGAGGCCATGGTATTACTCCGGTCGAACCGACCCATTCGTGCTGAAGCATGGTTCTCCCACACTTCCGAAGCATGGCTCACACCCATGACGCTGGTATCGTCAAGTGCGTCGTAATTCGCAGTGTCTCTGGGCTATCAACAATGGCCTACTTAGATTTTGTTTAACAACATAGATTACTCATTTTGTTATTGTTTATACGAAATCTATTAACATCTTGTTTGTTATGACCCGTTATACATGTTTAGATAACAGATTACAAATTGTAGTGGTGTTTATGTCTCTCTAGAATGGTATAATTTTCAACTGCAACACTAAATTGATACCTGATTAAATTTGCATTAAATGTGTGTTCTTCAAATGCGCGCTAGGTTTGGAAATACCCATTATGTTCATGTTATGAATTCAAATATTGTATCATCGTACTATTATGTATATTTTTACCAATGACGGGTCCGGGTCATTTAGGAGGCGTACGAGGGGCCGAGGCCAAATGCGCAGCGGCCCTTTAGACAACATTAATCAAAATGCAATGGACACACAAACCGGCGATTATCCCTGTATGTACTATGAAAATGCACCCAAGGGCAGTCTCCGGTTAGTGTATGACTATTGTAGATAATGGAAAAAAGAGGTAGAGCTATAGATGGGTTGCTGTGGACTGGTAAATAGGGAACTATGGATGACTATTTATTGTAGGTTTTTGAGATATGCGGATAACGCGAAAACTTTGAATATAACAAAAATCCTGCTGATACCTGTGGGAACCCACAGTCTTTTTATTGAAATCCTCTTTCAGTAGTCCCTTACACTTCACTTTTTAGCAGGTGAAAATCATTATTGAATTACCCCTCCTTGCCGTGGCTGAGGTCAGATAATTTACTCGTCTTATAATTTTTTGAAGGCGCCAAAAAACTTCGGACATTATACTTTTAATAGTGGGTTTCTCCCCAAGCTAAATATTACACATCACGGTCGTGGGGTTCTTCCAAAGAATGCGTTAATAACTTCCTTCGTAGCCTTTTCTCAGAATGTAACAACTTGTGATATCGTGAGACATACTAAATTAACTGAAAATCGCGGGTTACTCACGTGAAAATACAGAGAAAAGCTCTACTAGTTTTAACCCACAGAGGGGTTCTTCCTCATACGCAGCGAGCGCGGTCGCAGCGATGTTGCCCAGCCTACTGTAGGCCTCTCTGGGGCTCAAAACTAGTTTGTTTCTTTTTTTATTTTATGGCACTTGACCACTATCTCGCCTGATGGCAAGCGATGATGCGGTCTACGATGGAGCACGTCATCTTATAAGCAACCTATGCACTCGGGCCTTGAAGACTCCCAGGTTATACCCTTAAGGAAATACAGACTCTGGCAAAGAATTCCACTATTTAGCACAACAAGGAAGCCTGAAGCGAAGCGCTTCGTGCGTGTGGGTGGACCATCTACCATGAATCGGTGACGCTTCGCCGATTGTCTTGTGGTACGATGAGGGAAAGGACTAGTAGTTTTTCTTAGTATTTTCTCGTGAGTCCCTCGTAATTTCTAGTTAACTTGATAACGTCACTCTGTAAAATTAAAACAACCACAATAATACTTTATCCGATCCTGTAAGATAGACGCCTTTTTTTGAAGGGGCAAAACCATCCTATGACTTCTCCGGCCAGGCTCACATTGGGAGAGCGAGAGCGTATCAGACTCTTACTGACAAAAAACCACCCTGTTCCTACTCGTGCTTTGAGGCGAGGCCGGACCCGTTACGTTGTCCGTGGTTCTGCATCGGGCATCAGCCTTACTGGTCCCCATCTGTGGTGGTGCAATGGCTCGTTACGGAGCTGGTGAAACGCGACGTGGTTCTGGTAAAACATTCACAAGGGTCTCATTCCAATCGAGTTACCTTTGCTCGCCGTCCGCAGACCCGCACTTACGGTAGCCGGAGACGCCCGGAGTGTCACTTGTGGCAGCTGGGGCGTGAAGAGGATAGGTTCCTCACACTCCGGCTCCTCTTCCTTCCTCTGCATTTGCACTTATGACCGCGACCAACGACGCACTTCTCAAAAATTCCCCACTGCCTGGTTGGCCGAGTTCGATTCCGGAGTCGGGCAAAGTATTGCTAGAATTTTAAAAAATCTCAGTATTAGCACGGAGTCTGGAAATGTGCCCGGTATATGGCAATAGGCTCACCCCCTATTACATGGGACTCATAACATAAATAGTGAAAAGTGGGTGATAAATTGTACAGTAGCATAATGTGCACCTCTGCCTACCCCTTCGGGGATAAAAGGCGTGGTGTTATGTAATGTTAAAAATTCCCCACACAAATTCACCAGTAAATTGATTCGTAAAATAAAATAACGCACAGATTAAGCTATTAGAAACCAGTATGTCATGAACTCAGTTTGTACAACCTTTCGATATATTCGAAGATCAGATTATTTTTTTTTTTTTTTTATTTATTTCTTTATTTCAGGCAACTGTGGCCCATATAAAATATAATACACAAATAAAAATACAATACAAAACTAAAAAATAACAAATACCAAAAAATTTAAACATCAATAAACTAATAGATATACAATAACAAAACTAATTATAGAGGTAATTATTGCATACGAAGAGACGGCGTCGTGTTTCGCTGACTGGTATCACGTAGCCGGCCACGGAAACGCCGATACACGATACCCTTCGGCCAAAACTGTTCCTTGAGAAAGGTTTCAAGATCATGTGTTGGAACCCGCACCACGAACGATTTGAAGTTAGTATTGTGGCGCGACTCCAACTTCTCGACTCTCAAGGTCCAGTTCGTCTTCACTCGCAAATACTCCACGACATCCTCTGCCTTCGTGGAGTGATGCAGTCGGGACACGTACAGCAGCGTCGTGGGTGTCGCTGGACGCAGAAGCATGTTGGGTCCTGCCAGCGCGGTACCGCACTGGTTGCGGCAAGGAGGCTTCTTCTTCCTTTCTACCTTAATGAAGCCCTCATTGTCATGCTTGTCCTTTTTCAGACTAGGCTGGTTTGCTTGACCCCGTTTTATATTGGCCGCTTGCTTTTTCTGCGACGATTCAGTTTGGATAGCGGCAACGATATCTGCATAGGCACGTTTAGGGGACAACGTACCTACACAAGCCTGTACTTGCACCGGTGTCGAAGCGCAGGCGGCGGTGGCGCGTGATGCTACGTTTGCAGTTTTAATGGGTGACGCAATCGCCACTGACGAACTGCTGATCGCAGCGTTTTCCGTTCCATGTCGTGTGTTCATGTTGGAGGCGTCAGGTGACCCAGTTACCGAAACAGCGCTGCGTAACAGCATTACCTCGGCACGTAAGTCACATATGGTGTTATTTGATACCTCCAATTTTGACTGCAGCTCGGCCAGGTTAACAACAGATTATGCTGGTGACGTACAAATGAATCTATTCAAAACCATTTTATGATGATCTCGCTTCATATAACCTTTCCATACAATCGACGGCCATTATTTTAGTTTAGTAAAATGAATACTTTATCCGGAACCCTCATCAGTAGTAATGATGCCATCGATTAAGTTTCCAAGAAACCTGCGCATACGCAGCGCACGATCTCGCTTTAATATGGCGGTTTGTGAACAGGAAAGGACTTTGGTATTTCTGTACAATACAACTTTGAGCCTGTGTCTTCATTCGCGTGGAATTTACATTTTATAAGCTTTTATTTTAATTATAAGTTTGAAATCGCCAACCCGTAATGAGCAAGCGTGGTGATTAATGTTCAAACCTGCTCCGTGTGAGAAGATGCTTTTGGTCAGCAGTGGGCAGTTATAGGCTGATGA